TAGAAATGAGTTGTGCTGAAGTACAATTTAGGAGGCAATCCTGTCCAGAGAAAGATAGAGAAGTAATTCACTTTATTCTTTTAAGTCAATGGATATTAAGTTCTAAGACATATTTTATTAATTTTACTGATAACTCTGAAAAGATTTTAATGTTAGTCCTTCATTCTAGCAGAACAAAATAGGAAATTTTATATACTACAGCTGACACACCTCATGATTACATGTAATGGAATATTCCAACAATGAAAAGAAACAGAAGGAGCTACAGAGATTACTCTGTAGATGAAAGCCATCAGCTCGTAACCCTGCAATTGGAGTTTAATCCTCTGAGCTCTCAGAAAGCTAGATGGCAGGACAAGCATCTGTAGCTCTCACACTGCTACTGAAACATAGAGCTGCCTAATAGAAATTGTTGGATGCTTACAGGCCAGATAGACTGAACTGTGCAGAGTAGCAGCAGAAACACAAATGGAGAAATTCTGACTTGAGACAAATTGAAGAAAGTCAATTACTGTAGAGTTGTTCTCTGAATCCCACTTGCATATATAGTACCTGAGCACCCAGAGTCACTCATCCCTTCATACACCGTACCTCAGTAAGTACCTATGTTCTCTACCATCTTGTGTCTTATAATTTACTGAAAAAGAAAGAGCAAAAGCCAGATGAAGACATATTTAAGAAAGGATCTGTAGTAGGTAGAAGAAAGAACCATGGATTATCAATTTATTGTCAGTGACAGTATAAGATGCTGTACAGACTTAAAAGGAATAACACATAAGCCATGTAGATCTCTATTAAACTGAGTGTGAAGATGTAGGAAAGACCAGTGAAAAAGTCTTAGAGAAGGACATTCTCAACAATGCTCACGAAAAAGCAGGGAAATAATTTTATTCTCAATGAATCAGACAGTTTCAGCATTGAGTCATGATGTGATGAAATACTATACGTGAAGTCCTGAGATTGGTACCCACTAACTGGTCATGCATAATTGGTGTTAGACAACATTGCAATTATTCCTGACAATATTATTATTATTTGCATTAGGCAACATACTTCCATGGAAGAAGTTTTAAAATATTTTGTACCCTTATAAAACACTTACAATTCTTTATTCTTTTAATGGTCTATTTATTTTTATTTTATGTGTATGAGAGTTTTTCCTGCATGTTTGCCTGGTACATATTAACATCAGAAGTAGGCCCTGAATCTCCTGGAACTGGTGTTACAGGTAGTTTTTAGATGCCAAGTGAGTTCTGGGTGATCCTCTGCAAAAATAGCAAGTGCTCACTGTAGAGTCAAAAATCACAATTATTTAACATTGATGCAGCCAGAGTTCTGGTATATATCTTAATTTGTATTTAAAACTCTTGTATAATTCATGGTCCCAAGTGAACACTGAAAAATTTTACTCTGAAACCATTGTTTCTTTTCCATGTAGAACTGATTATTATTTATAGGAATTCAGATCATGCTCATTATTAATGGGAGCGTTAATCAGACCATCCTTTTTGTACAAATGGGAAAAATGTGGATTCCAAAAGCATTGAAAATCTGTTCTCTTTATCATTATTTTAATTCAGCCTTATGAAATTCTGTCTACTTTTAAATCTACTAAAATAAAAGTATTTGAACAAAGATGATTGCTCTTTTTTTTCCTCAATTGCACAGGTGGGACCTTATTAGGAATGTGTACCAGAATCTCAATAAACCATTGTGATGGCTATCTGTGACGACTGAATCATTTGCAATCTGATATACATGAGGAATCTGAAGAAAATTACAAAAAAATTACTGTTCCTTTTCATGTAAAATAAGAGGAAACTAAAGCAATGTTTCATATAAAACTGCTGTCAATGTTTCTGATGTCACCTTGCATCTTAATTCTTACAATTTACCTTGCAGATACGATGTGCATTAATTGCTGAAGAAACTCACCTCAGGAATCAACAAGTCATGTCAAAAGGAGTATCAGTTTCTTAATGGGATTTTGAGGCACTATCACAGAGCACCTAAATCTAGGCATGCCTTCTTCACATACTCAAAACCACAAGAGAAGAACCTTGGTTCAACAAATAATATTTTCTAATCAGCAAGCAATTTTTATACTGAATTTATCATCTTAGAAACATCTCAACATGAAAATCATAAATGAATACTGTTAAAAGTCTTATCAAAGACCATGTAGAAAAGCCAAATCCTTCTCTTCTTCAGAATGTTTTCCCTGCTTTTTACTTTCCAATTTTGAAATAGGTAATAGGCTTTAAGCTTTGGGGCTTGATGTAAAACAGCATGTATAAATATATATGACTGAGCAAGTTTTTAATAATGTGTACTTATCTCCAGATGTTCTCCGAGATTTAATTTGAAGTAAAAGAAAAATCTCCAGTTTTATTTGATGTAACTAAATATGAAAACATATGAAAAATTTAGATTTCAGAAATAAAATATCACGAATCATTATTTAATTCCCTGAAATCTAAAGATAGAGTCAAATAAATGAATCTCTTCTGTATAGTCAATTTTACTTTGCTTTTTATGTATCCTTATATTATAATTTAAGTTTTATATTAGACTAAGACATTTGTCAGAGTCCGTTGTCAAAAATTATGCCCTTGTGTTTAAAAGGGGAAATTTAAAAGGTGGAGGGAGGAAGGCTAGTTAAAAAAAAGAAACAAGAACATGAGCAAGTAAGTCAGGACCACGAGGGTGGCGTCCACCCACTGAGAAGGCACAACTGATCTAATGGGAGCTCATCAAGGCCAGCTGGACTGGGAGTGATGGAGCATGTGATCAAACTAGATACTCTGAATGTGGCTGACAATGAAGGCTAACTGAGAAGCCAAGGACAAAGGCACCGGGTGTTGATTCTACTGCATAGACTGACTTTGTGGGAGCCTGGTTTGTTTGGATGCTCACCTTTATAGACCTGGATGGAGGGGGGAGGAGCTTGGACTTCCCGCAGGGCAGGGAACCCTGACTGCTCTTAGGGTAGGGGGGGGTGAGGTGGGGAGGGAGAGGCAAAAGGAAGGCGGGGAAGAGGTGGAAATTTTTAATAAATAAATAAATTAATTAAAATATAAATAAATAACAAAAAAGAAATTAAAATAGCAAAAGGCTCTGACTTGTGGAAATGAAAGTCTCACAATACCCGCAGATTAAACAACTATATTTCTGAAACAGGAAATGTAAGAAAAAAACCCAAATCATGCTATAAAGACCACATCTGTGTTCAATACTCTAAGAGATGAAAAAGAAAGATTAAAGAAACTTACAGTTTGCTTACATTACTGAGGGTTTAAGTTTTAATCTTGGGATAATTAGTCATAGTTTGTTGAAAGATTGTCAATTTTTCTGTAATGTCATATGGGAGCTTAAACATTATTGAGAAATAATATGGTAAAAAGAAACTTTTAAGCCTTGAAGTAAAAAGCCCCATGGAAAAATGAACACCTTTGAAAGGGTTGATTTTTTTATACTTTATAAAATCAGTGCTACTTTTCAAGATTAACAAAATTATATGTCTTTTAAAATCACATCTAGTTAGAAAGAATCTAAAAGATAGCCAGCCAAAGTTATCTAATAGGATTCTGAAGCTTTTATCTTGAATTCTTATTAGAATAAAAGGTTGACATTTTTGCAATAGTTTAATTGTATAACATTCACCATAACATACTCTAGAAATGTATTTTTCTGTATTATGAAAGTAAATTCAAAATGCCATTGTTTCAAGTATATTTTCCTTTAGTTTGCACATTAATTTAAATTATCATCATGCACATGAAGATAACTTTGGATATAGTAATATAATATTTTTGCAACAAATTAATATAAAAAGGGTTCATTTATTTTGCACCACTGAGAAATCAAATTATGTTCAATTAACAAAAATGTTGGCAAAGTTGTACCAGAGACTTCTTATTCAAGGAGTTAAGCTATGCAAAAAGAGTTCAAACTGACAGGGAAATCAGGACAACCTTAGACAGGTATTAAGGATTTATCAATTACTTATTCTGTTGTCATAGGGACAGAGTGCGTTGGCTCTGTTTATTTCAACTTGACATAGACTGCCAATAACTGAAAGAAGAGAGCCTCAACTGAAAAAAAAATGCCTCCATATGATCCTGTTGTACAACATTTTTAAAATTACTGACTGCCTGGTAACAACTCAGTCCATTGTGGGTGGATCCAACTTTGGGCTGATGGTCCTGGTCTCTAAACAAAATCAAGCAGAGCAAGTCATGGGGAGCAAACCAATAAGCAGCACCCCTCCATGACTTCTGTGTCAGTTCCTTCCTCCAGCTTTTTGCCCTGTTTGAGCTCTTGCTCTGACTACCTTCAATCGAGAACTACAAAAAGACGTGTAAGCCAAATAAATCCTTTCCTCATCAAGTTGTCTTGGTCATGATGTTTTATCACAGGAATAGTAACCCAAAGACAGAAAATATATATGTATGTATGTTAACATCTTTACAGCATATCCATGATAGTATCCAATAATTTGCCAGAACTCTAATATAATTTCCCAATTATATTGCAGTCATGCAAAGTTTGTTAATTCTTACATCATTTTATACCCCAGAATGTATGACTTATATAAATACTATCCTATTCCTCAAATGACTAGCAGGCAGTTCCTTTGGACATACTAAACAATGACTAAAACTGAATATGGCGATGACAAATTTTTTTGAGATATAATATATGCAGATTTAGCAATGCATTGTGTTAGAAACATCTGTATCGGTCTACTAATCACAGAATAAGCAATATCATTTAGTACTATTCTTGTGGAGAGGAGAGAATATATCTAAGAAGGAGGGAAAGTGTGTGATAACAATTGGCAGCAACATGGACAAGATAAAACTTAAGAACTAAGGCACCCATAGGCATTATCTCCTGGCATGTTGCTTCTTTGATTTGTTTTAGGATGTGCTTAACAGCCACATAGTTGGATCCAGAGCGAGCAGCCGCAAAGGTTCAGAAACTCTTTCCTCCCTTACCTGCCACTGAGGAGGAAGCCAATCATCACTGCCAACAAGATGACTCCCACTGTCACGGACACTGCAATGATGGGAATCTGGCTTTGATCATTGGATGCTGCAACTGCTGATAGGAGACACAGAAAAAAGAACTTGTAGTTAAAGGTACCACATGCATCAAAATGTGAGCTGCTTCACAGCAGGTAATTGATCGTGGTTTAAACAATTCACCCGCATCCAGCTAAGGTTACCTTATAATGTCTGTTTTCAGAAAGGCATTTGAAGGAGGAAATATTAACTCACCAAATATAAATCAAATGCCCAATGCTCACTAATGATTTTCTCTCTATAATAAAAATTAATGTAGTTTCAATGGTACCACAATTATTTGCACCTTGCAAGGTAAAGGGGAATATTGTCTATGACTTCAAACACATGCAAATATACATTTTATAACAAAATGTTATATAATTTATAAAAAATTTTATAACATTGTATAATAAAATGTTGAATATTTAAGTTTTGACATTTCTAGAGTTTGGATGTTGTTCTCTAGGAAAACAAATATATTACCTCAAGAACTCTTCCCTATATACAAAATGTCTGAAATAATGGGCTCTGACCTTACTGAAATAAAATACAATACCAAAGTCTACATCAAATTTAATAGCTCAGCTACATGTGCAATATAATGTCACTATATTTTATAAATAGGATCAATGAAAATTATGAAAGTGCCAATTTTGTGGATGTGATTAGACAAATTTGAAGCACTTGTTTACTAAACATTTTACACACATGGATTTATAACTTTATCAACACAGTGGTTACAATATGGTTCTGAAAGTCTTAGGTAGTGGTATCTACATAAGCACTATAAATTTTGTGTTGTGCTGATAACCACTCTATCTAGAAAACACATACAGCAAACCGCTCTCAGTGGGGTTCCTAACATAGGTCTCGTTAGTCACAGCATCATTCTGATGCTTCAGTTCAGCACTGCACAGCATCACAATACCAAATCTGTGGTTTTCAAGACCTGTAGCAAGTAGAGTTTCTGTTTGCTTTTTATCATTCCTATGCCAGATCTTGGTATATATAATTTGTAATTCCATATCTCTCTGTATTGTCTTGTAGTTGCATTATTTCTGTCCAAGATGAGCTTTTTGTAAGTACCTCCTTGTCCTGACCTATATATCAGCCAAAATCAAAACATTCTGGCAATGAAGACTGACTGAGAAGCCAAGGACAATGGATTCACTTTGTGGGAGTCTGGTTTGTTTGGATGCTCACCTTTATAGACCTGGATGGAGGGGGGAGGACCTTGGACTTCCCGCAGGGTAGGGAACCCTGACTGCTCTTAGTACTAGAGAGGAAGAGGGAGGTGAGGAGGGGAGGGAAAAGGGAGGCGGGGAGGAAGTGGAAATTCTTAATAAATAAATAAAACAAACAAACAAAAAACAAAACAACAAAAAAAACCATTCTTCAGATTCCAATATTTTCAACAGCTTATATGAGTAAAATCTTATTTATAGGCTATGGGTAAAATATGAGTAAAATTGTTTGTAATCTACAAGTCTATGTTCTTCCCTTCCCCTTTTAAATGAAATGTATTTGTTTTGATTTTATGTTTAAGGGTATTCTTCTTGCATGTATGTCAGTAAACTACATCAGATTGTGGAACCCACAGAGATGAGAAGAGGCCACTGAATCCTACAGAACTGAAGTTACAGATGGTTAGGAACCACAATGGAAGTACTGGGAATTAAACCCAGCACCTCTGGAAAAGCTTCCAGTGCTTATCTATTTTTATTGTTTTATTTAGTTATACATTTTTCTTTACTCCTGTCCCTTCCTTTCTTCTCTCATTCTACCCTTTCCTTTGACCCCCACACTCACAAATTACTCAGAGTTTATCTTTTTCTCCTTCCTATGTAGATCCATGTATATCTCTCTTAGGGTCCTCTTCATTGTCAAGGTTCTCTGAGACTGTGATCTGTAGCCTAGTTCTTCTTAAACACTGAGCCATCTCTCTAACTCCCTTTTCCATTCTTGGTAAATAATAGCAGTACAAAGTTTCTTTAAAAATGCTTAAATGTTTTGTTAATTATCTGTGTCCCTCCTTCCTTCCCTCCCTTTACCCCCACCACTGTGTGTGTTTGTGTGTGTGTGTGTGTGTGTGTGTGTGTGTGTGTGTGTGTGTGTGGTGTATGACATTGAGTATGTTTCGAGATCAGGGGCAATTTAAAAGAGTCTGTTCTCATCTCCTACATTAAGCATCCTGGTGATGAGATACACGATATCATTAAGCTTGGTGGCAAGCTCCTTTACATTCTGAATCTCCGTACTGGCCCAGTTTACAGGTTCTTTAACCGGATACTTCCTATCTTCTCATGCTGAGTTCTGGGAAATGAAACTTAGATATTGGGTACCAATGATTCCAGTAGAAAAGCATCCCATGATCACCAATACCTCCACCCATGGTTTGATTTATAGATCTTTAAACTCAGATTATATATACCATTGATTTTATTTTCAACCCACAATCAATAATTAAAAAAAATAAATTTGGTCCATGTCTTGGTCCTACATTCAAGCACAAAGTAGCAGTACTAAATTAATTCAGTAAGGTCAAAAGAAAGTTCATGTAGTTGGAAAGGTAATGTGGGATCCTCTTCTGTATGCTATGAAAACGACTGATGAATGAATAAAGAAACTGGATAGGCCTGATAGGGTAGAGTAGAGCTAAGCAGGGAAAACTAAACTGAATGCTGGGAGAAAGAAGGCAGAGATAAGGAGAAGCCATGTAGGCAGGCTGGAGACAGACACTGGGGATGGAACTTTACCCAGTAAGCCACAGCTATCTGTCAATACATAGATTAATGGAGATGGGCTGGTTCAAGATGTAAGCATAGCCAGAAATATGCTTAAGCTATTGGACAAATAATATTGCAAATAATATAGTTTCTGTGTGATTATTTTGAGGTTGAGAATCTTGAAACAAACACGTAGCCTCCTTCAACAGAAAGGAGAGGTGTAGAGGATGGAGGAGTTGGAAGGAATTAAGTAGGAAATGGATTTGATTAAAATACATTACATTGTTCACTTCCATGAAAATTTCAAACTGTAAGAACACTGTTTTTAAAAATCTTGGAACAATTGTTGCATAGGTTCCATAGGATCCAGCCATGAAAAGCTCAAAAGAGGCCTGAGTCTCAGTAGTTTACCCTAGAACAATACCTGGTTCTCAGAAAGGCCACAAACTGAGACTACCCAGGTACCACTCAGGAACAGATCATCCAAAGGAAATACCTAATGTTTCAACCATGGGAGATCAATTGCCAGCACATACCCATTGCTTTTCACCAGGACATTCCTTGGCACATGATGTCAGACAATCAATTAAAGGAAGAAATGTCTTTTGGGGGGTGATTCACCTTTATATCTAAACTAAAATTTAACCTAAATTTGAAAACGTCCTGAATTTACTAGGTATATGAGCTATAAAAATACCTCATGATTTAGCCTTGCTATCTTGATTCTAAAGCAGAAATAATTACCCTGAATCACTACCTTTCTGTTAAAATTAGAGCTAATAAATATAAAATATTTAGTGAAATAGCTTGATTATTAGTGTGCTTACACAGTTTTTTTCCTATTTATTTTTTATATTTTATTTACCTTCTTAATCCTATGTTCCAGCATCCTGAGTGAATTATATGGAAAAAAAAAAACCTTATCTAGTGAAAGTCAGTATTGTTCCATCTCTCTGAAACTTTTCTTCTGCTTCCAAGAATGTGGATGATGTTTGTGAATTCAATGAGTACATCATTTACATATATGCACCATGATAAATAATTTCTCCACTTGAAATATTGAGCTCACTATTTAAACCATCCCTCCTGTTGTTTTGTTAATCAAAATAAATAAGTAAATAAAGATTTCTTTTTTGCTGTTTCCAAAGCTTTCTTTCTGTAGTGATCCATGTTCTCTACAGTAATCCGTGAGTGCTTATATTTGATGAATTCTTTGATTCCCCTCTCTTCTCTCTCTTCTTTTTTCTTTTCCCTTATCTTTCTTCTTGTCTTCACCGCCAATAGGAAAGTCATTTATAACATCAGTTAACAATTAAAAATCAAAAGATGATTTAATGTTTTCAATAATTGTATCACTCCATAGATTCTATCTGCTTTGTTCAATAACTATTTCCTTTTATGGTGATTGTATTGTCACAGGAAATCAAATATGATTAAAACGGATGATTACATAGCATTTCTACTCCTGCAGGTTTGAGAAAATGCACAAGTAAATATACCATAAATCAAACCACCAAGCTATACTGTTTCTATCTCCTTAGTTTCTATTCAATATTACTTAATATTCCTTACTAACTGCTTGCCTATTAATTACTAAACATGTTTGTTTTTATTCCATATTCATCATATATTTTATCTAGTTATCACTTTGATTCAAGCTTGTAAAATGATTATATCTGAATATTGCTCATAAAGTATTGGGAGTCCATCATACACATAGTCAAATTGATTATAAAATCAGATTTTTGACCTCTGTTGTTATAAAACATCAAAGCTTATTTTGATCATGTCAGTATAATATTATATATATAATGTTTTGCATACTTTGTTCCTAAAGTTTGTAGGCTAGTAGAGCAGAGCATTCAATACTAGTAAAATTACATACAGTGAAAACAATTACAATAGGATGGTGCCATAATATATCTTTTATAACAAATTCATTTTAAGATTAAAGTATGAGATTTAATAATTAATTCATTCTGCAGACTGTATATATTTCTTCTGATTTTATAAATACTATTAAATATTTAAAAGTTTATCTGAAAGCTAAGCATTATTTTTCAATTTCTATATGTTTAATTAAACTCAAGCCATACAATTTTTTTAGTATAGGAAAGAAATAGCAATTTCTACCACTGACATCTTTTTTCTTATAATGTCTCATGGGGTAACATGAGAGAGTCTGTTCGTCACTTAATAAAAATTATTTATGTAAATCAATTAGAAAGATTTTAAGCAGGAGCAATTTGGGTTCCTAGAGGACCATATCATAGGAGTTTATTAAATTGTCTTTTTGTAATTATAATAATAATTGTAACATTAATCCAATAACTACACTCTTATTTTGTTACTTTTTAACTGTGTGTTTTCTTTTCCAATGCAAAGTATGGAGCTGGGTGAAGAACACACATACGTACATACACACAATGTGCATGTGTGAATGTGCACATATAATCAGAAACAGACACACACATGCAGACACACACAAACACATGCATATATGTGTTCATGAATACACACACATACTTGCAGGCAGACACACACACTTATACACATACACACACACACACTCATGACAATTTACACTTCTCATGTGTGTTAACTTCCTTAGCAGAAAACTAATAGTTTTGTCTTCTAAGTTAGCTTCAATATATTTGCTTTAGGACAAGGAAACTTTTATAATTTAATAAAATTACAAAAAAAATCATTTGTTGAAGCCTGAAGCATGTTTTATGAAATTAAACACGAGCTGTGCACCAAAGAGCATTTCAGAACCATTTCTAGATTTTCCATTCCAAGATTCTGACACAAATTTAATTTTTACTTTCGGAAATCAGATTGGATCCTGAAAGCACCATTTTCTTGTCAAATTCAATGCTAAAGAAAGCTCCCTGTAGAATTTTCTTAGAAAGACTAAAGTAGCATAGTTCAATAAAGCAAGTAAAAAGTAAATGGCAATAATTCAATAAAGCACGGCACCTGGGGGATCGACGTCTTTAAAAGCACGGCTTAAACATTTCTTAAGATGCTTGATGTAGCAGCTCTCAGTGGACCAAAGCGGGCAGGCGAGACGGGCAGTGTTAACCCACAGACCTACCATTAGAGCATGGCCGAGGCCTCCTACCTGAAGGGGTCAGAAGTGGAGAGGGAAGGGAGAGAAGCTGACAGGGAGCCCTGGGAGCCTATCGATCCACGGGCTCTCTTCTGGTAACCATTACAGAGACAAGGGTTGACAGTAATTAAAATGACTTACACACTGGTGTGGTTTCAAACTCAAATCTTCGACTGAAGACACCGTAGCCTGCTGCTGTTCGTGCTCGAATTTGGAAGACATACACAGACGCAGGCTTCAGGCCCTCTGCAGTAATAGTGGTCTCTTTAGACTTGATAATTGTGTAGCTGGTCTCTTGGTCCTTGCATTGCATATGTAAGAAAAGGGGGAAGATCAGTCTTCAACAGATGAATTACTGACAGCAAAACAGAAAACTCATAAAATGGATCAGAAAGCAAAGACTTCCTATTATACGCACATTGAAAACAAAACCAAAGATATTTCTGCTACCCTTGAAGCATTTTAGCATGTCAGCAAATGTTTCCAAAACTTAACCATTTTAATGACATTTTAGTTACTTATCTGTCATATATGCCTTGGGCAATAATAAATTTATAACATTTAACAATATTATAATTTGGCACAAGAGAAATGTTTCCGCTATTAAGAGCATTTGCTGGGGTGTCAGAAGACTCAAGGTCAGTTTACAACACCCACAGGAAGACTCATAACCACCTGTAGCTCTAGTTTCAAGGGATCCAATGCCCTCTTACATCTGCAGGCTCCTACAGTCCCATGGTACACATACACACAGTCATGCAGGCTCTCTCTCTCTGTCTCTCTCTGTCTCTCTCTGTCTCTCTCTGTCTCTGTCTCTCTCTCTCTCTCTGTTTCTCTCTTTCTCTCTCTCTCTCTCTCTCTCTCTCTCTCTGTCTCTGTCTCTCTCTTACACACACACATATACACACACACACACAAGAAATAAATCTTTAATAACATCGCAGGAAAGCATTCCTCTGGAGACTGCATTTCTGTTATGACTATGTGCTTGCTTCTGTAGGACCAACTTCTCGTAATACCTCTAACTTATTTGCTAGCTCTCCAGAATGCTGAAATTATCTCCCGAGTATTCAGATTACATGTAAGCTTTAAATCTTCTATGAATTTGATTTTTAATTATATTTAAAGCTTATAAGATGAAATAAGTACTTTCAATAAACTTTAATTTTGCTAGATTTAATCTAAACAGAAATCAGTAAAGAAAATTGCAAAAATACAGGATATATATATATATATATATATATATATATATATTCATTTTTAAAAGGGCTGGTTGTAAGAGAGACAATCAACTTAGTGATTGAAGGAAAACAAAGCAAACCTGTTCCTATTGGAGAGATGATAACAGAAGTTCCAACCCACCCCATGGCCTCTCAATGTCTGAGGACAAAGGCCAACATTTACTATGATATTATAATCACAGGCTGACATGCTGTTACAACAGATTCACTTTTACCTATATTTTTACTTTGGAATAGGACATATTGCCTGAGTGTCCTCCTCAGAATGAGGTAAGAATGAAACAAGGAATGAACATGAAGATGCTTCATGGATTAACATATATGATCTAATGGATGCTCAACTCTTCCTAAATCTTCATAACGAAGGTGACAAGTAACCACTTTCTGATTCACAACCAATAATACCCAAAACATGAACCTGGAAGCACACATTTTTTTTTAAAGCAGCTAATCAGTCTTCATTTATAATTTTCAACACATCAAATCATCATGAATCTAGGTATATCCGAATTCATCACTAAATTGGGATGATCTGATTTGTTTCTATTAGATATAAGGTTTCTGATTCATTCTGAACTGCTGTTGATTTTTATATCTTAATGCACAGATTAAGTACTTAATCTATAAAATATTGATGGAATTTTTTATTATTTTAAAAGGAAGTTAAAGTACATAATTAAGTGCTAGAAGATGAATCTTAAATACCAGTTTCCTTATTCACAAGCCCTTCTTTACCTTCTATCTATTGTGTGAATGCTAGGACTACAACAATAGAAAGTTATTCCTTGAGCTGTTTTTAAATATTGTAAACAACTTTTTATGATATATTGTAGCTACTGCGAGTTCAGGGGATGCTCAAATTTATGACTGAATAAACTTGATTATATTATTTACTATTTTTCAATATTGAGCCTAAATATCATCAGTTCTCAGTAATAAACTTGGCAGTTTGGCTATGATTGTAGCAATAACTTTCACTAAGAAATGAATAAATATCCCGTTTACTAATATTATTTTCATCTCTTTGAAAGAAGTTTAACTTTGTGAAGAGAAATCTAGTGAAAACTACTGCTATATTAAAATGCATTTGCTATAATTTCGTTTCTTTTCTCATAAAACAAAAAGTTTTAATATAAAATAGGAAGGATTTTTTTAAGAGCACAGGAATATTGACATTGAAATTCCAAATATATGGCTAACATATATATATATATGTATATATAACACTAAATCTCAGATTACTTGTGTTTAAAATGGATCTGAAAGTCTATCAATACAAAAGAGAAAAATCACAACACCTTAAATGGGCAAATTTGATTACTCAAATGCTTGTATGGATTAAAGAAATGAAGAACAACATTGTAGAATAAATTCATTCTGTGAATATATTGAATGTTTTATTATATGAAGATGGAAAAGGTATTTGAAATAGTGTTTTAGACTGCATCAATTTCTCAAAAGACAGCATTGTTTGATTTTATGATTAAGATATCTTAGTTGTTCTTTATCTAGTCTCTGATTGGACTTTGTACTGATGAGTTAGTTCAGTACTATATTTTTAAAAAATAATTTAGCAAAGAGTATACAAATTGATTAAAGCCTATTAATATATACTGGAATAATCTCAGGATTCTAAAAAAATATATTTCCATTCCACTTTAAATTCCTGTAACAGGCTAATTTTCATCTTCTCACAAACTCTGTATATGCCTTGTAAGCAAGTAAGTAACTGCACCTGGCAGCCAAACAGTAGATCAGGGCAGGGGTTTTCACTGCATTGGGGCCCCAGCTGAGCAAACAAGCTACATTCCCCAGCTGCTTCATGAACATCGCTCACATGTAGTGAGGGGAGGGCCCAGCGAAAGAAGCCAGCTGGCAAACAGCCTGTCAAGGGGCAGCTTCCCCTTTTCTTCCGCCTTTAATTAAGAGATGGCAAGAGGCCCATCACCAGACCAGAGCAGAGGAGCCCAGTGACCTCTATTAGAACAGGGCAATGGCGGTTGATGTGCCAGCTGGCAAGTGTGCACGTCCTAGAAGGCTGTGCCACCTGTGGCTGGCCAAAAGCCATCCAACAAAAAAATTGGTGTCACTCTGAAGGTTCCAAATGAGCTCTGGAAATCTACCAAAACCCCCACCTCAACATGTTATAAAGGCTCATTATCCTTTTCCCTTTTAGAAGCGTTAGGATTATCTTTATGTATATATGAGAATGTTTAGTAACCCAAACATGATATAAGTTCGGGGATTAATAACATTAACAAAGGCGATTTATAACTTCTACCAAATACTATAACCTTTGTTACTTTTAAATGTGAACCAAGGTAAATTATTATCAATATATTTTGCCCTTAGCATGTAGAAACCATTTTCCCCAAATAAAGTGATATTTTCTTAAAAAAATACATGTGTATGTATGCATCCATGCATGTTGATGTATGTACAAGTACACGGAGGTGCACATTTGTACTTGTGCACGTGTGGTTGAAGACCAGAGGGCAATCTTTAAGTGGCATCCTCAGAAATGCCATCTACCTCCATTAGGCAGTCTCTCATTGCTTTCTATTTCACAATCAATTAATGAAGATTGCTGTTCAGGAAGCCTCAGAGATCCTCCTCGGTCAGCTTCCCGAGCACTGGGGCTACAAGCACACACCAGCATACCTGGAAAATATGGGTTCTTAGGACCTAAAAGCAGGTCTTCCAACATGTTCACCAAGTACTTTTCCAACTGAGGTTTGCCCAGCCTTCAGACTAATTTTCTTACTTTCAGTTATAAAGATAATGAAACATACTAATATACCACTAACTGCAAGCTATTAAAGAAAAAATCACGATGAAACTCAAATAAATGAAAAAATTCTCTTTTGGAGAGAATGTTCCAGAACATGGATAGCCTTCAGCAGATATAGCCACAGAAAATATTACTTCCCAAGACGCATTTAATATCTGCGCTCTAACAGAAGAAGCAACTTAAAGAATGAAAGAAGCAGACATCTTTGTTCATACTGAACAGTGTACATAAGGTGGAAAGGGATAGATAAAGTTAAGGTTACTAACCATGGAGGCATGGAAAGGATTTGGGGGTAAATACATGAATACTGTTAATTGGTCTACATCATTAATTGAGTAGAAAAGAACAATGTAAACACACAAGCACACATTAAACTTTTAGGGTTTTGTTGATAGATCATATTTCAGCTAAGTTAATGACATTTAATCATTTACATGATTTTGGTGTAAAGATATCACTGGTTTCCATTATATATTTTAGCAAGGTAAAATCCATTTTAACTGCACTAATCATTGCAAATATAAAATGTTTATAGCCAAAGTTCATTTGTCTTCCTTATGTAAATGTTTGACTTTAGACAACTTTGCACTACGTAGAGTAGAAAAGGTTACAAAAGTAAACAGGGAATGCATTTTTAATTTATAAATTATTACACATAGAATGTGTTTATATCATAGATGTCTGGAACTCAGAGGCAGTTTCTGATTACTGAACTCAGAGAATTGGGAATCAGTCAGGCCACTACATTCCACCACATTACCTCCAATTATGTTGGTAGGAAATAACTGCAAGCATGCTGCAAAACAATTTCATCTCAAAGGTGCTCTCTTAGGGTCCTTTGATGCATTCAAAACTACATTTTTGGTGTGGATAACAAGGCACCAAGAAGTATAGTGGGAGAGGAGAACAATAGGAAGAAATTATGATGGAATGAAAATGAATAACATAATGAAATCAGTTTGATTATACTCTATGGTAACCCGGCAAATTACACAACACAATAAATCAGGTAAAAAAAAAAAAAGAAGAAAAAGAAAGAAAACAGAATCACCATTTATGTTCTGTATGATACAATTGCTATAGGTAACACTGTCACCAATGATAATTGACAGTATGATAATCCGTTAACAAGATCAAAGGTTCATCATTGCAGACATTTAAAAGCCTAGGTATAAGATCCAGATAGCTCTCCCTACTTCATATTCTTTCATTAATGCATCATCCTTAACTAAGACCCACATAGTTAATTGTCAAATTAATAATCAAAAGAAGGCCTTTTTAAATCTCTAAAATCTATTAAAGCTGATTACCCACTTTTTCTTAGATTCTTCTATTGTATTCACAAGTAATCTTAGATTTTTAAGCAATTTTTATCATCTAATATAAGCATTTCAGGAGGTGATGAAAAGATCCATCCTCCTTTTCCATGGTAAGGTCCTTAGGAATCACAAATTAAGGTTACGTGTCATTAACATCCCATTTTTTTCTTCCCTAAAAGTGAAATGATGTCTCCGTAAGTTGATAAGAACCTATTAAGTGTAGCGCACTATTCCACTTCACTGGGATTCACTTGTGTGTACTGTGCTCCTGTAATTTCCTCTCCAACTAGCAGAGTCAGTACATCTGAGTCCAGGTCTCCACTTCACCTATTTGGGACTGGCTTGGTTGGGTATCATCTAACTTTGTGTACCCTTTATTAGAACGCAGATTATTCTGAAGATTTGTTGTTTAGGTCAAAGCTATCTGAAATCATATTTTCCTATGATGGAAGGTAGAATGATAGAGGGTGATTCCTGTATTTCAGCAGCACATGCTGGCATAACGGCAGACATGATAAACTCACTCTGAGCTTCCAAATTTGATTCTATTTTCAATAGCTTACTTGATTATACAGTCAGAAGAAAGTAAGGATGTTTACCTCCTTTAGATAACAATAACTGCATGTATGTAGGTGTGTATGTGGGGGGAAGAGTCCAATTTCCCATACTTTAACAGAACTGTTACTGTGATAGTGACCAGGCACGGGTATACATAGTTTTGCTTGCGTGGTATTGCACCCACTACTGAAAATCAAAAGGCTGAATATTCACTACACTTTCCAAATCTTGTATGATTTGTCTTTTATTTTATTGATATTTTTTCTTGTGCGTATGTATGAGCGCATGTGTATATATGTGGATTAATGGGCATGTGTATGAATGCATGTGAATGTACATGTGTCTACATGCTCCAGAGGTCAGAGTTTGATACAAGAAACATCCTGATCTTCCATTCACCTTATTAAATGTGGTAGCCTCTCAGTCAAATCCAGAGCTCAACAACATCATTTGTGTCGCTTGCCACCTTTCTCTGGAGACGCCCTTACTCTGCTTTGTGAAGCAGAAATTGCAGGATGGCCATCACACCCACTTGACTTTTATATGGGATCTGGGAATCCAAACTCAGTTCCTCATGCATGAGTGCAAGGATTTTTTTTTAAACCAACAAGTGGTTTCAATAGCCCCCAAATTTATCTTTTAATTTGAAATTAAATGTTAAGCTGACTATATGCTTTATTCACATACAGCCACTCCAGGATGTGACAAGAGGGATCACTGAAGGCATCAGGCCCCCACAAGCACAACTGAAAATCAGACTTTTTTGGATTCACACCTGAGAGTACAATCTCCTCTTGTACAAATCTAAAACTGAAGTTGTTAGAGTGGAAAGAAAAAGAAAAGGAGAGTTTTATTTTCTGAATCCCACCTTTTCAAAGTACTTTATTTCATACTCCAGGATGATTCCATTGGGGCGATCTGGCTCTTGCCAAGACAAAGAGATGCTGTTCTTTGCAATCTTTCCCCTTTTCACGTTGGTGACTGGCGAGGGAGCTGCAAGATAACACAAATAAATAATGATGTGGTTAATAGAGAAATTAGAACTTACTCTGTGTAATGACTGGCATGTTATTATGTAACTATTAGTACATTTCCATTTATCCTGGAAAAATTTATCTTCTCTACGAAAGTTGTTAAAGACTATTAGTATATAAGCTATATAAAAATAGCTACCCGTCCTGAGAACCATGTATTAATACTGTACTTATCTGGAGTCTTCATATCCTCCTCAAATGTAGACAAATAGTTTTAATATATTATTTTATAGAATATATATTCCTGATGATCATGCTTATATTTTTTATAAAAGGTATTCAATGATCCAGTACCTTTTCATATGCCATGTTTCCAAAATTTATAAATTCTTTGTCCTTGATCCCCTCATTGCAATAAATGTTTTGTCAGATAATTATTTTTCAATATTATTGCCCTTTATTATATTCATTAGTTTTAAAATAAATTCATATATAAGTCATATTAACAGTTTATATAAACACTGTATTAAATATTATATCTCAATATTTAAAAATAGAAAGAGATTGAATTCCATTTCCTTCAATTATTTCCTGACAAATCATTCATGGTGGTGCTTATTGATATCTACTAGAGTACTTATTAGACCTTTATTTCTAGGAAAAGTGCAAAAAATGTATACTTCTCAGATACATCTGGATACCTGAGTTCATGAAACATATGGAATTTTAACCATAATCCATACTATCATAGACTGAAATATTTTTCAAACTCTATGGAGATGATGAAATAAGGACTTGATATTGGTTGCTAAGACTATATTTGTCAAAGCAAAAATAGCTATGCTCTGTATATTATGTAATATTTATCTAATGAAACATCACAAATATATCCTCACTAAGCAGCAATAAATATACTTAGAAAAACCTGAGTAGAAACTTGATAATGTTAAATATGTATGTGCACATTTATAAACAAATACATGTGTGCCATATGCTATATAGAATTTTGTACATTAATCATATATACTATGTTATATATTTCTATTTGATTTTTTGATTATCCAAAACATCTTTTAAATTGAAATGTCCAGTTTTTGGAAACTTCTTGAAATTGTAATAATACTTCATGCTCTTTGAAAAACAGATCGTGGAGATCATATTTTAAATATCAGCATATTAGACTCAATAGAAGTGAGAACACATATGGACAAGAGTTAGCTTTGTAAAACAGAAATAAGGCTATGGCACTCCTATGTTTAAAGTCTCCCAGGGTCTCTGTCAGGCCTCAAGAGAAAAAGCCCAGATGCTCTTTCTGAGTCTCTTGAGTCTTCAGGGTCTTCCCACTTGGCGTTGTGCTTCACCAGCTCACAGACTGGCCTCTTACATCCTCCCCTCTGTATAGCCACTCTGTTTACAGGTTAGCAATCAGAAATGCTGTGAGAGCGTACTGCTTGCGCATACGTGCACACACACACACACACACACACACACACCCTCCACACACAAACACACATGCATGCAAATGCACACTGAGATCTACACACTCACAAACATAAACACATAGGGACACATACACACACACACAAACGCATTACTCACAGATTCATGGACACACATTCCTTCTTCCTGAGGTTTCCCAGGGCTTTACTGTGTTAGAACTCTCACAGTTACCGGGTCTCAACAATGTTCTCTCCTCTCCCCTCATCAGCCCTTGTAACCCTTTTGTGTTCTATTATTGTTGTAAGTGTCACACTTCTCTACAAACATAGTAGATTTTTACTTTTCTGGTTACTCCAACTATGATATAAATTTGAAGACAGCAGTATTATGTGCTAATGCATTGCTGGATCATTTGGTCTGGAACAGTGTGTATATAATGAGAACCAGGGCCAATGAGTCTGCACAAGTGAATGACTGTTGCCTATATGTCCTTTATTTTTCTATCTTATTTTTGACCAACGACAAAATTGTAACATTTTTTTTAAAAAAATAATGATTTAATTTTGCCTTAATATTTTATTTAATTCATACTTTATAAATATATTTTATTTATAAATATATATATATTTATATATATATATTAATAATATAATAATAATATAATTAAACAAATATATACAATATAATTTATTTCTAATTATTCATATGGTAGAGACTAATAAAACTTAAGAGACCAGTATAAGCTATTTCTGTTTTATATACCAATGATGGAGGGATGATTTTGGTATGCTAATTTTTACATTTAACTCTTTGAATGTCAGAGATAGTGATATTCAGGTACAAAAAATTTCTGTGATCACCTTTGTCTTCCTTTCTCTCTATTTTATTTTAATAAGATTTGATTTAATTTTAAGTGTGTGTGTACGTGTGTGTGTGTGTTCGTGTGCGTGTGCGTGTGCGTGCCACAGGACTTCATGTGCAGACTCCAGGGTCAATGGATTCCCTGGAACAAGACTTAAAGGTGGTTTGTAAAGTTGCCCGATGTGAGTGCTGGGAACTCATCTTTATTCATCTGGAAGAGCAGAGGGTGCTCCTAAAGTCTGATCCTTCTCTTTAGTACTTGTCTTACTTCCTTGTACATGCCAGGCTTACAGAACTGCCTGGAATATTTCAGAGCCATAATGTAACTATGCTAGATAATCAATGTTCATTTGTTTCCTTCAGTTGAAACTGACTGACAGATCTAAGGAAAATCTTTAAGTAAGTTCAAATTTCCTATGGGTTTGAGTGAGAGAAAAATTATATGCAGCATTTATATGTGGAAGATTATATGCAGCATTTTCAATGAATAATTGGGAAGACTGGGGAACATACAAGAGCAAGCCATTCCTCAATCCGCTGCTGCTTTGTGAGGTCCTTCTATCTATGTGTTATTTTTATTGGTTAATGAATAAAGAACTGCTTTGTATACTGGGAGAAGGAAGTGCATATTCGGAGAGAAGCCATGGAGCCTCAGGAGATAGATGCTAGGAACTTTACCCACAGTAACATGGCAATATACAGATTAATAAAAATGTAATAAATTAATATAAGAGTTAGGCAATAAGAAGCAAGAACTAATGGGAAAAGCAGTGATTTAATTAATACGTTTCTGTTTGATTATTTTGGGTCTAAGCTAGCTGAGCAGCTGGGAACCAACAAGCAACATCCCTCTAACACGCTGCATAGTTTGTAAAATACATTGAAGGAGTAATAGAAATTTAAGAAAATATTTTTCCTTAAATATTTTAAGACTTACAGTCTTGCGAAGCATCTCATTTCCACATATCCACTGTATATTTTGTTGCATTGTACATTAGAAAGAAATGAAGATTTAAATAAGCTTAAAATTCCTCGTTTATTTTAGCACAGATATTAATTATAATTGATACATTTCTAAAGATGTCAGTATTCATGAAGTGAGCTCATAGGATTGCCAACTATTTTTCAATGGTTTTAATAAGCCTGAAAACTCAATGAAGTTAGAAATTAATTTGGTTTATTTTGTGTAATCTTTATCAGTTCTTAAATTTGCTTACTATATAGAAATTTAGTAAACAATGACTGACAGAATGGATAGATAAATGAATGGTAAATATATTTATCATGTAATGTTTAACAGTAAGTTTATCTTAAATGCTTATATTAGTGTAATGTCATTTAAAGGTCTGTAGTATTTCTGAAAATTTAGCATGTTTATAAAATAATAAACTACTTTAAAACGAAGTGAGGAAATAACTAACAATCCACATGCAAATAGCAAAGATGGACTATTTCATATTGCAGCCATCAAAGTTAACCAGAGCTTCCTTGCTTTCAAAGAATGCTTGATTTATAAGCTATTAATAGTTTTTAAAATTTAGTTCTCTTCGAGGTTATAAGAGAGAGGAAGCTCCAATAGGGTAAAGAGAGGGAGATAACTATAAAAGGAGAAGGGAGAATGTTAGACAATAAAGCCTCCAGAAAGAATATGTATGATATGGATATATATATATATTACAGATATTACATATATATCTGTGATATGGGATTCCCCTCTGTATGCTATGAATACCATTCATTAATAAAGAAACTGGTTTGGCCTGGTATGGTAGATTAGAGATAGGTGGGGACAACTAAACTAAATTCTGAAAGAAAGAAGGCAGAGTCAGGAGAAGCCATGGAGCAGCTACCAGAGACAGACATGCTGAAACTTTGCTGGTGAGCCACAGCCATGTGGAGATACACAGATTGATGAAGATGGGTTAATTTAAGATATAAGTTAGACAGAAATACACTTAACCTTTGGGCAAACAGTATTGCAAATAATATGGTATCTATGTGATTATTTCATGTCTGAGTTGCTGGGCAGCCAGGAAACAAACGGCCTTCACACAACATATCTTTAAGGAATATTATATATATATATATATATATATATATATATATATATATATATATATGTATATGTCTTAATCTCTCTCTTTCTCTCTTTCTCTCTCTCTCTCTCTCTCTCTCACACACACACACACATATATATATACATATATATATATCTTAAAGGAATAATACACACATGCGCATATATGTATATATACATAATCTTAAAAGAAGTTGAGTTACTTAGGCTAACACACTCCCCATGAGAACCATATACTAAAAAAATCGCAAACATGAGGTAAGAGAATGATTCTTGTGTAAACCAAACGATTCTCAAAAATATTAGAAATTACCAATGTAACACCTGGTAACCTCTCAGACATAGAGAGTGGCATTAGCTGCTGAAGACATCACTTAGGACACAGAACTCAAATGATTTGGTCTGGATCCGACCTAAAAGCCCTTTTCCTGTGATCTAACATATAATTCCAGTACACATATTACAGGTTGCCAAAGGGGGAGGGTAATACACATTCTTCCTATGCTGTAGCACCTATGAAGACGCAAATTACCTGCATGGAAAGCTGTGCATAAAGGTGCGATAACTAACACCTGTTAGTAGCAACAAATCTCTGTCTAATTGGATTTAAGACCTACTTTATTGGAAGGAAATCAAGCTTG